AACTTTGGTTTTCACACAAATTTTACACCACTTTTGGTTTTTATTAAATTCATCAGTTTTCTTAAAATCTTGACATTTTGTACATAAATAAACTTCCTCTAATTTTAAAGATTGTAATAATGAGTTATTATTATATATCATCTTTTCATAAAGACTAATAATTTTGCTGTTACGATTCATTGTCTTATATTTATTTTTATTTTTATTTATAAAGAAAAAATTTTGATATATTTATTTTAATATCAATGTAATTGTATACAGTATAGTATTTCAGGGTGTATGGAAATACACCCTAAAGATATTTAAAATAAATATAAAAATTAGTACTATTGTAAATGAATTTGAGGTGGCTGGTTTGAAACCAGTCACTTATAATATTATAGTAAAAATCATGGTCTGTTTTTCCGGCCATGATTTTATTAAAGAATTTATGGGTTTTTATGATATTAATGACGCGGTCGGAAAATTCGGCCGCGTCAAAATTAGAAATTGTTATAAACATTTTATAGAAATTTTAAAAAATTTTGATATTAATAACACGTCCGTAATTTACGGACGCGTTAAATATAGATATAAAATACATAAATTTATAGAATTTTTAAAAAATTTAAATGTAATGACACGTGTCCGAATTGGACACGTGTTAAATATAGATATGAAATGCATAAATTTTTAAAAAATAATGATATTGAATTTGAACAGATTCGTTTAAATTTTTTGTAATTTTAACAGATTTGTTTAGATTTTTTGTAATTTTTAACAGGAAAATATAAGGTCGGTTTTTTTTAAAATTTTTTATTGTTAAATATAGATATGAAATGCATACATTTTTAAAAAAATAATGATATTGAATTTGAACAGATTTGTTTAAATTTTTTGTAATTTTAACAGATTTGTTTAGATTTTTTTGTAATTTTTAACAGGAAAATATAAGGTCGGTTTTTTTTTTAATGTTTTTTCAATGGTTTTTTAGATTTTTTTTATGCTTTTTTGTGTGTTTTTTATGCTTTTTTATGTTGTTTATGCATTTTTTAATGGTTTTTATTCATTTTTTAATGATTTTTTAAGGCGCTTTTTTTGTAATATAAAAAGTGTACCATACGTGCCCATATACTACTATATATTTTCCGATTTTCATGAAGAGGGTGTTGAAACCAATTTTTAAAGGAATTAACTTGGCCACTTATTCCAAGTTCAGACCACATTTTTCTGTTTGTCTGAGCTCCATCAGAGACAAATCCATGAATAATAACACCTGCTGGCTCTAACAGAATTATACATTTCAACATAAGTTTTGCTAACTCTGTGCCGACTACAGGTCCTCTAGATGCAAATACGGCTACAGGTTGAGAATAAGTGGCTGCAAGTGGCTGGAACATAAATACTAAGCAACTTGTTGCCTTTTCATTTATATCACTTGCTTCATAATCATCACCAAAATCTACAAAGCCTTTATAAGTAAGCCTTTTGGAGCATACAGTTAATGCTTCTCTTACTGATATCTCATCTACAAGAATAATACCATGTTTTTGCATGGTGGATTTATTTTCTAGGTGTTTTTTAAATAGAGCAAAAAATTGATTATCAAATCCACAAGATGTATCTATTAAAGAGAGATAACGCCTAATAGTACTAACATTAGGCAATGGCATTATATTGTAACCACTTGGGGATCGAATATGAAACAACATACATAGTATTAACCATTCATCAGAATAACGTCTACCTTTAGAGTTATTAACCTAGTTTACAAAACAAAAAAATTAAATTAAATAATAATATTCTGATGATATTTTAAATTAACATATTACTTTTGCTGCTGAAAATATTTCTTGAACAATTGTCTTTTGATTTACAGGGCAGTTAATTTCAATCAGTTTCTCTTCAATAGATTTTTGAGAAATATTACTATACTCAGATTGAAGGTTAAGTAAATTTTTTTTTAATGAACTAAATTGTTTTTCAAAACGATTCTTTTGTCTTCTGAGAACATTGTTTCTTTTTTGTAAAATTATCAATTTTTTTCTACTTTTTGTTGTAGTTTTCAGGGAAATTCGTTTAGGAGATGATAGTAAGGTAGATCGAATTTGTTTTTGCTTTACATTTCGTATGGTTCTTGCACAGTACAAACAATGTAAATTATTTGAAATTAAGAACAAACATTCCTTATGTCGTTTCATTTGCATGGTATCAATTACAATATTTTCAGAAATATAAAAAAATGATTCATATCTATAATTGTGAAAAAAAAAATTGAAATTATTTTATTTTTATTATTCTTAACTATTTTATTTGTTACTTTTTTGAGCTTATTAAATCCAATCCTTTACAAATTTTGAATAAAGCCATTTCTTTAATTAAACTTTTTAACTGATCTATACTTTCAAGATTAGTATTGGCATTTACTAATTTATCATTGCATATATTTTTCCCCAAAATATTGCAAGTAATTTTTGAACTTTGGCTTATAATTATACTTTTCCGTAAAAAGGATTTTAACTTGCCTTCATTTTCTACAAAAATAATTTCGGATATGCCAAAGTACTTCTTTTCATAAGAAAAATATTTGTGCCAGTTAATGGGTAGCTGCAAGTCTAAAGTATTCAATTCATTAAATGAAATTGAATTACTTTGCTCTTTTATAGTTGTTGATATATTCTATAAATAAATTTAATTTCAAATTTTAAACTTAAGAAAGTAATTATTTATACACAAATATATTATTTTGATTAAATCAATGTTTTAAATTTCTTACTTCTTGGTATATCATAGTTTTATTAATATTGTACTTTGCAACGGAATCATCTAATTGTAAATTATCATTAGGCTTAGCAGAATAATTATGATCTAACATTATATCCACTATATTTTTATCAGGATCACATTGGTAATCCTTAAAATGTAATGTTTAATTTAAACAAAATATAAAATTGTAATAATAAATGTATTAGTTATTAATTTATAATTACTATATCAGAAAATATAGGGACACTGGTTTCTGCAACTTTGCCACTACAAGAGTCCATCAATAATTCCTCTGTCTAATAAATATTAAAATGTAATACTTAATTATAAATATGTGTAATTATATTTTTATAAATTACTTTTTTTTTCAGTATTATCAAATTTCAATTTTTTCCTTGCAGAAACCTAAAGGAACTGCATTAGGTAATAATCGAGGACGTAACAGAGGAACCTAAACAATCATTTTTCATAACTCATGAGGCATACTTTATAAATACTATATATAGTCTATATATCATCTATAACTTACTGAGCATACAATTTTCCCCACTTTATCAAATATATCCTTTTTTTTTGTATTTGGTCTGTACGAAAATGTTCTTCACAGACAACATTATTATGAAACAAATGTGGAACATCGAGGGATTTTAACCATTCGTTTTTTAAAAGTTCGTCTTTTGGAATGGAAAACACGGATAATTTTTTGTTGGTATTACAACCAAATAAACAAATATTGTTGGGCATAATTTATTTTTTAGAGACAAAAAACTGATTGTAATAAAATAGCGTATACAATTGTGAATTACTCGGTAAATAAAAATAAATATTTTAATTATTTTCTATGGAGTTCAATAGCTGATTTTAGATTTTTGGCGGAATTTTGAACCTTACCAACATATTAAATAAGAATAAATTATTAAGTTCATAACCTCAATAAGTATAACCTGCAGCGCTCGTGAGTAACAATTGAACTAAATTTGCTACAACAAGCGGAAAACTGATAAATACTAGTCGTCGGACCTTATCTTCTAAGACCGTGATCGAGGCCATCCCGTATCCGTATATAATATAGAAAGCGATAGTAAAGGTGTTGCACATCGTGCTATATACGTGTTGCTATATCGTAACTGCATTATCCATTAGAAACCGACATTGTACACGCACGTGTGTTTACATGGTTTGAATACTAATATTAATTGTATATTTCAACACCCTCCCTCAATTAATAATTTCTTTAATTGTAGTCACTCCTACAGCTGAACGCAATTTCTCGAAACGTTCCTTGACCAAAGGCTTTGTTAGAATGTCTGCAATCTGATCCTCTGTTCCAATGTACAGTACCTAGTTGAAATTGTCCTTCTTCGTATTTCTCGAAATGATATTGTACTTCTATGTGTTTTGTCACATATGAAACTCCGGATTCTTAACTAAACGAATAGCACTCTGATTATCAATGAATAATACCGGTTGTTTATCGCCTGTTTTTGATAAGCTTATTATCAACCGCGTAATCCACATGATCCCGTTTACAGCTTCACTGGCCGAAATATATTCAGCCTCTGTCGATGACAATGACACACAATGTTGTCTCTGCGATGTCCATTAAATTATGCTTGACCCGTATCTGAATAGAAATCGAAGTTGAGCGTCGTGTCTGAACGTCACCTGCGTAAACTGCATCGCTAAATATTTCTAATGACTATTGTGTATTATGATTAAAATACAAGTCATAATTAAATGTTCGTTTGACATATCGTATAATCCGTTTTACCAAGTTCCAATGAGCTTTAGTGGCTAAGTAACGACTAGCAAAGTTAACTACATATGCTATATCTGGTCTCGTTACCTGTGATAAAAACAGTAAGCTACCTACTGCCTGCCTATAAGGTATTTCTTCACTTAATATCTCTGATTCTTCCTTATGTTCAATAGTAGACTTACTACAACTAGACACTAGTACGAAACCATTTGAAAAAATATTTTTGGACATTGTAGGGCCTTTGGTTACAACCGGGTTAGGTAACAACTATATACTCACGATGCAATGCGACTTAACAAAGTTCAGCCTAGGGGTAGCAATACCTTGTCACACCGCTAACGCGGTGGCGAAAGCGTTCGTAATAAATTTTGTCTGTATACATGGGATACTGGATGAAATTTTAAGCGATCAGGGCACCGAATTTATGTCAAATTGTTTCAAAGACGTATGTAGATTGTTAAAAATAAACTAGATTAAGACTTCCGGTTATCATCCAATGACCAATGGGGCTCTAGAACGTTCACATAAGATATTGGCAGAATATTTAAGACACTACGTAAGTAAAAGTTTAGACAATTGGGATGAGCTTTTACCTTACGCCATGTTTGTATACAATTCTACGGAACATACGTCCACGAGGTACCAACCATACGCGTTATTATATGGCAAGAATATTAATATACCAGTTAAACTGAAAGCAAAACCAGAACCTAGGTACAATTACGATGATAACGTATACGATCTTAAACAAAAGTTCCAGGAAGCTCATCAAATTGCACGGAATAGATTAATAAAGAATAAAGAAGTAAATAAACGATATTATGATAAGAAAACTAATACGGAAGAGTTAAAAATCAATGATATGATTTTACTTAAAGATCATACTCAAAGAAATAAATTAAGTCCACTTTGGAAGGGACCATACGAAGTACTAGACGTACTAGATTCAGAAAATGTAGTTATGTCACGAAATCGCAATAAAGTGACAGTACACAAAAACGATGTGAAACTATATTACGAAGACAATAATATGGATAACGAAGAAGTCGAATAAACACATGACGAAATTTTAATTATAAATAATTAAGTAATAATAGGATAGGATAAAATGTATTTATAAAGCATAGTAGAATATATATATATATAGTATAGATATAGTATAGGATACGAAATACTTATAATACACAAATTAAGTACACATTAAACGATAAAGTCGGCGTGGGATGTGCTCGCGATAACATTTTAATATAAAGAATAAAAATCATAGTATTGTTTTAAAACCAGAATTCCAATATGTAGCGATTACAAAGAATAGGGAACAATATACCACGTTCACAGAGACTCAGCTTTTACATTGTACGGAAACAGAAATATTCACAATATGTCCAGAATTTTCACCAGTCGTTCACTCGAACAACAAAAATCCATGTGAAATAGCTTTATTCAAAAATCCGGATGTCTTGCACTCTTGCCAGAAACATGCGAGACGGGAGTCTTAATATTATCGAAAGACATATTTTATAAGTTAAAACATGCAAACACTTGGATATACACAACAAAGGGAGAAACATTGACTATCGCGTGTAGGGAAAATGCAGAACCATATATTACGAAAATACGAAAGCAAGGATTAATTTGGTTGAGCTCAAAATGTAGAGCGTACGGAAACGATATTATCTTAAATCCGACACAAGAAATAAAGTCATAACATTATGTTAACTTTATACCCGAAGTAGGACAGGGAAAAATATCATTTAAAGTATCCGATAGAATCAAAAGTATGAATCTACCTAAGATAATGGTTAAACAAGATTCACATAAACTCGAAAAAATACACGAAATAGCACAATCGCTAGATAAGGTGCAACAACAAATCGATAATGAATTATTAACACAATCAGGACAGCTAGAAGCAAGTGATACGCGTAATTATTTATTTTATTTAACATTGGGCTTGATAGTATTCTCGGTCATGTTAATCATATTTATATACATAACGTATAAATGTAGTCCAATTGCGAAGTCCACAATATGAAATGGTACGATTAGGTAAATGTAAACTCTGTACGGATAATATCAAAGTTGAACAAAAATTTAATAAAATAGACGAACAAAGTCCACTTGGAGGGGAGGATGTACCACCCCAAATAAAATAACCTATGAAAGAATATTTTATTAATTAGAAAAAAAACACGTATTTACACAAGTAGTTAGAAATAGTAATTAGAATGAAACACATTAATTTTAAATTAATAATGATACTAAATATATTATCGACTTTAAATTAGAAGGGAAGTCAAGTTCGTTGTCATAGATTTCGAATTCACCAATATGAAGAGAACAGACATTGTGCTAATATCAGGGGCAATCTCGAACAGCTTAAACAAGTGTAAAATTCGTAAGCTCGAGGGGAAACCGCTTCTCTTGCCACTTCATGAACAGGTAATAGTTATGACTGTTCGTGAAACGCAGTTGGCAGAGAAATCGATAAGATCGATTTTTCACAACAAAAAGGAAGTGGAGACGACCTGTGATTATCCAACCATGAAATAACAAAAATTCAAATAGTTGATGAGTTAATTAAGAATCCATATATTTTAGCTTTTAAAAAATGGCAAGGTATTGAAGTAAGAAATCTTACTGGAAAAAAGATAAGATTCAATTTAACAAATAATTATCGAAATAATAAACATCCATTGTTTGGTGTTGTTTATTTTCAAAAAAACAGATTAGACAATCAAGAAAGTAATGCTTGTTTTTTTGATCATTGTGATGTTGTAAATTATTCTTTTGAGGTAAATAGAAAAAAATATCCTAATGAATTACAAAATCAAGATTTTAATGATATAAAATGTTGTCAATCATATGAAGATCATATGAGTTATAAAAAAACCTATTATAAATCACATGAAAAAATCCATTAATGTATTTAGATAAATTCCAATTTAGACGAAAGAGACCATTTTTTGTTGTTAACATGACTAGACACCCTAATCAAATTGCAATGTCCAACTGTACAGTAATTTTAAACTTAGATTTCAGTCAAAATTTACCTGATAAAACAATTTATTATATTTGTTTAATTTCTAGTGCAGTGTATACGTTTGATATTGAAAGAGGAATAGTTGATGAAAGGTATTAAATATATTAAAATTAATTAAAAAATCGTTCCCTACTTTAATTTTTCAAGATATTTTATCTTGAAAAAAAAAGTTTTTAATATTTATTTTTTTATTAGGTCAAGAACACCAATAAATTCTTCATCAAAATTAACAATATTACCTTTCAAATCTAAAATATAAATTTCTATTTTTTGAAACCGATTTTTAATAACTGGTCTATATATCATTTTATGAGGTTTAATCAAAGCACTATTAGAATTATATTGAAATAAAAATAAAACTTCATCATAATGAGATAGTTCATCAATATCATGTGTAATAGATTCTTCAATTATATTACAATGTACTTCTAATATTTTGTTGTTATTATTTAATGATGAATTTTCTCCATGATGTGTAAGTAGTATATATATACCAGTCCTGGCACACCTCATAATATATCAGTAAAAGATCACAAAGAAAACAATGTGCAAAAAGATCAGAAAATTGAAATGCAATAATAATTAATAAAATTTTTCACAAAACTTATGAAATGCAATAATAATAAAAATATTTTCCGCAAAACTTAATTATTAAAAATAAAAATCGAAATGCAATAATAATAAAAACATTTTTCGCCAAACTTATTAAATACACCCAAAATATTTTTCATAATACTTATGATATTAATAATTAAAATCGAAATGTAATATAGTGTATTAAAAAATATTTTTAAAGAAATTGAATACCTTAGTTAAAGGAATTGATATTTATAATAAAAGAATGGAATCTATAAACAATCATAATAAGTTACAAGAAACCGAAATGCAAAACGAAGTAGAAAACTATATATTAAATAAAAAAATAAAAAAATGTTATGTGAAATTTTGTGCTTTTGAATATTATAAAAATAATGAAAATATAATAAAATATAATCTTAATGAAATTCCAATTAAAGGAAAAATTTTAATCATCGAGAACCATTTAGAACCAACTTATGTTTATGTTTCTAAATGTCTACGATCACCAACTTGGTTAGAACTTTGTAAAATAGCTAATGATCAAATAATTGCAAACAGTACAAATTCATTCGAATATCTCTATAATATTAGTGTAATGAAAACTTTAGGAGATATTAAAATATGTTCTTTTGGTATGACAATACGTAGAATATAATTATATTATTAATTTAATTTTTTAATAGAATTGTTCTATTAAAAAAATGTTCAATATTTAACGCTCACCCGAATAGGGGACGCGTTATTAAAATCCAAAAATTTTTGAAAACGATTTTACACTATGATACTATGAGGGGGACTTATAAAGAATTAAAATCAAAAATGTTTAATGTAAAAATGAAGATTCTAACATAAAAAACAACGGAGTTATACTTAAATGAAAAATTGGTTTAATATTGAAACAGATTGTAAAATACAAATTAATGATAAATTTATAGAAATAAAAAAGGAGAATATAGTATTAATGAATGAAACAAACAAATTCAACCTTTAGTGTTATCTTATGCTAATAAAAAAATTGAAATCAAATCTCCTTGTTATTATAATTTAGATGAAAATTTAAAAAATTATTTAGGTTTTCAAAACATAACAATTGATTTTTTATTAACTATTAATAAATCAGCAATGTATGTTCCTACTTCCAATGATCAATATATAAATATAGAGAAAGAATGTCAAATTAAAATATATGATGATGATGTAAATTCAAATAACATTTATAAAATACCTATTGGTATTTATTTATTATCTGAATTAGAAGCAATATTGAATACTGATAGAAATGATGATATAATACTTACAATAAATGAAAAAAATAAATTAAATATTGATACTAACTTGCATAATTTTGATATCGATCCTTATTTAACGAATCCTATACATTTTTATACACAAGGTTTTTTTAAAAATTTTACCGGTGTTATAACGAGTCGAAGTAATAACATTAAAACTATGATAAAGGGAAATTATTCAATTGATCAATTGAATAGTAAATTACCATCAGATATTAAATTACAAAATGATAATAATTGTATTACATTTACTTCAAAAACTGATTTTTTGATGGATCAAATTTTAAAACAAGTTTAGGGATTGATAAAATGTATTTTTTATATAAACACATTGGAGAAGTCTTAAATAATAATAATATAAATAAACGATTATTAGAAGTACATTGCAATATAATTGAAAAATCTTTTTCATCTGTTAAGGATAGTCATCACATCGAGGAAGATGTTTTGTATAATTTTTATTATGATTATGATAATCCATATATAAAAACTAATTCAATAATATACATACCTGTTAAAGGACATTTTCAAGAAATAAAAATAGATATTATAGATCAAAATGGTAAAAAATATGTTTTTGATAATGATGATTTTATTGTTTATCTTGATTTAATTAAAGAATAAATATTAAATTATTTTTCAATAGAAATATTCTATTGAAAATAATAGTCACTAGGAGATAAAGGTTGGAGTACTCCAACTTTTTATATTTTTATATTTTTATATTTCTTCAATAGTACCTTTTTCAACATCAAACAAAAATTCATCTTCTCTTATGAAAAAAATATAACAAATTGTATCTTTAGGTAAATCTTCATGTAACTCAATATGTAAAATAATATTTTTTTTATTAAAAAGGATATTTTCTGGTTGATAAACTGTTTTAGTTAGAAATATTGATCTATAATCCTTAAAATCAGTTGGATCATTATACATCAATGGAAGTTCTTGAGTATTTTTATGATAAGTTAATTTATATGACATCAAATCATCATAAAATTGACAAAACTTACTATTATTAAAATCTTCATCTTGACGTTCTGCAGGATAATTTATTCCATTTAATTCAAAACTATAGCTTCTAACACAACAATGATCAAATTCACCAGGGTCATGATCTTGAGTATTTAATTTATTTGTTTG